GCGGGGGACCGTAGGCAGAGAGGGAGGGAGAAGAGGACAACAAGCAAACGAGGGGCTGTGACAAACTGTTTCGTTGGAGTTTCACCCACTGACTCATCAGGAGGCTGAACCCCCCGCGACACACAGAGAGAGAGAGAGAGAGAGAGAGAGAGAGAGAGAGAGAGAGAGAGAGAGAGAGAGAGAGAGAGAGAGGACATCCGGGGGAAGATGGCGCATTCTTCGTCTCCTTGAATTTTCCGCTAGAACATGCATGGGTAAACACACCGACGTATTTTTTGTCTTTTGTGCATGTGGTGAGTTTTTGTCTTTTGTGCATGTGGTGAGTTTTTGTCTTTTGTGCATGTGGTGAGTTTTTGTCTTTTGTGCATGTGGTGAGTAGTGTTAAGAGGGACCCACTGGCTGGTTACTGCATTGGTGTTTGAAAATTTTTATTGGCAGCGAACCGAGGGAGGGAGCAATTGTGATCATTGATCATTCATTCCAGGATGATTCGATGAATATTCGCTGTTCCTTCGCGGACGAGTCCAGGCTCAGTCCCGGATCACGAGGACGCGTTTCACTCTGACTGCCTTCAGTATCGATCCACGACCCTTTTCACCCGAATACAACGCCCCCCGCCCGGTCGGTTAGTGCTTGTTGTATGTGGGGCAACTTTTGGTCTAGATGCAGCGCGATAATGACCGGGCGTTCTATTCGGGTGAAAGACGGCAGGAATCATGTCATTCTAAGATCATTCCTGTTTCATCATTCAGAGGATCAGTTCAGCATGGTCTGAGGGAGGAGTCGGAGCATTCGGTGAAGACGGCTGAAATGACCGTTTTTTTCCATGAAGATTTCAGTGATGGCTGAGAAAAATACATAATTTGATGCCTTTAAAAAGAAGAAGAAAAAAAAAATGTATAATTTGATGCCTTTAAAAAAAAAAAAGAAAAAAAAAGCATAATTTGATGCCTTATTTCAGGATGATACAAGTGTATCGTTTGAGGATCATTTCAGCTTCACTCCGGATCGTTCTTTATATGACCATTCTAAAAAGATCTCATTCATTCGAGGATCATTCGAAGAGCATTCAATGAAGATTCCAGGACCTTTCCCAGGATCATTCTTTTATAATTTCATTCTTTTTCTGGGACTGTTCCAAGATCATTCGCGGACCATTGCAGGGATCTTTTCAGTATCACTCCTGAACCCTTTTATATGTCATGCCAGTAGCGCAATATCATTCCAGGATAGTTCAATGATCATTCCGGGATAATTCCATGATAGTTTCATGATAATTCCTGGATAGTGCCATGATCATTCCAGGATAGTTCCATGATAGTTCCGGCATCATTCCCGGATGGTTCCATGTTCATTTGGAATCATTGCGCTGCAAGATCATTCCATTATTACCAGGATCGACGCTGCTTCCGTTCTTTCATTCTCTTTTTTTTTTTTTTTTTTTTTTTCTTTCGTTTTTCACCTTCCATCCTCTGATTCTTGAGATCTTTTGCAAGGCCAGGACACCTTTTTTTTTTTTTTTTTTTTGGTTAAATCCAAGGGACCATTTTCAGGGTTTAGGGTTTCTCGGTTTCTTGGCTGATTAATTACATGACTATTCCATGATCATTCATACGACTATTCCACAGGGCCTTTCCGTCCATCCTGGTACGTGTTAGCGACTCTGGTTCTCTTGACCTGTTTGAAGCGTACATGCAAGCGCACGCTGTGTGGGCAATTCCGCACGTGCGGCACCCAAGCCGCATGGTTCCGGTTTGAAGCGTACATGCAAGCGCACGCTGTGTGGGCAATTCCGCACGTGCGGCACTGTCTCTTATACACATCTAGATGTGTATAAGAGACAGCTTCAAGCAAGCGCACGCGGTGTGGGCAATTCCGCACGTGCGGCACCCAAGGCGCACGGTTCCGGTGATGCCATGCGGCGCACGGGGGAAATAGCCACACAGGAAAAAAAGGGGTGGCAGGCCAGTGTTCACCTGCGCCCCCTTCGAAAATTTGTAGGATGGGAAAAAAAATAAATAAAAAAAATTGGAAGAGCAATTTCACCACTTGACAGTCAAGGCTGATGCCCCAAAGACCCCTATTTGAGGCACTTTGGGGCTATTTATGATGCCCAATGAGACAAAAAGAAAGATTTGTACGACTGTACTTGAACAGGATTCGTTCCTTAGGCAGCAGTACACTCTTCTGTATCTATGAAAACAACAACAAAAAAAAAGAGAAAAAAACAGAGATTATTTCCGGTGCGCTGCACGGGCACAGGTTCAGGTTCCGCGCATTGTGAGGCACACGGCACCATACCGTGGTGCAGCTCGTGCGTGTTTTTTTTTTTTTTTTTTTTTTTTTTTTTTTTTTGGGGCTCGTACGGTTGCAAGTATGGTTTGAAGAAATACGGCGGGTACTATGACACACCTATGATTGTTAGGAGGGATTGGCAATGGGCCTCACCGCACCACTAAAGACAAAAAATGTGGTGGTGTATCTTTCCAGTTTCTAGCGAAAGATTCATTCTTGTTTTGCTCATTTGGTGAGTAGTGCAGCGAGGCCCAATATCCCATGTGATACCCCTCAGAGCCCTTCTCACACCCCCACTTCGTAAGTTCTACAGTACAGTTTCGCTTCCCCCCCTCCCCCCGCCCTCCTCTCCCTTTCTCCCCTCCTTTTTTTAAAACGGCTCAACAAATGGATTATCACACTACTGACCAAACCCCGGTTCGCTTGAAGTAACCTTGCAAGCGACATCACCTCGATGATGACACCAACAAAAAAAACTCCATGCAGCATGTCAGGCCTGTTTTGATGGCTCATGAACAAGGAACGGATCCCCCCAAAGGGAGACAAATACACCCGAGAGGAGCTCCTCTTCCAAGGAATCCTTAAACCCCTTCCCTAGTGGACGGCTGTGATTAGAGAGTATGGAGAGCAAGAATGCCCCAGAAAATAGGAGAGCCAATGTCCAAAGGAGGAAGTGCCGGTGTGAGGGGATCCGAGGAGAGTTTTGGGCCTTTAGACTGCTGAAGCCCGGAGCAACAGCGTCTGTCACCCGCTGCGCTCACTTCAGGAGTCACCCACTGCGCTCACTTCAGTGGTCACCCACTGCCCTCACTTCAGGGGTCACCCACTCCGCTCACTTCAGGGGTCCTCGACAGTACAACAGGGAGTGGAGATCAGATTTCCTGGCGCATCTCCACTTAGGGCGTGAGTTTGAAGTCTCAGACCATATACTGACAAGTATAAGACAGACAGAAAAAAAAATAAAATCAGAGAAAAACAAAAGAGTACTTCAGCAGTTCTGCAAATATATATGGGATCAGTGCTCAGATTTCAGCAGCAACCGCGATTGTGGAGTCTCAGATTTACAGGGGAACAACTGAAATTTGATCTGCACATATAATGCTTGGAACTTGCCTGATCAGGAAGGGAGCATTCCTACAACCTCCCTGATCAGGGAGGGTCAAAAACGGAACAACAACTACCCCCCTAGGTGGGACAGCGAGGGGGGTTGGATGAACGACTGAACACAAATAGGAGTGTGTGGGTATATCAATCCAAAAAAAAAACAAAAAAAAAACATTAAAGTTTAAAATTCAGCTTGGGCGAGCTTAGTCACAGTTTGCTTACAGAGAGTAACGTATATCTCTGATCAGAGCTCCCAAGAGAGCAGTTCATGTTCCGCCTGAATAAGACCCAGAGTCAGTTCTCAATTTTGTCGCGAAGACGCCGAAAAGATGTTTCCTTTTCTCTCCTCTGCGTTCTCACCCTTCCTCCTCCTACACTGTAGCACTTTCTCTCGTTCACTTGCTAGAGAGGTCGATTACGTCACCTGGAGTCCAAGATCAAGATAGGAACCAGCGCAGCTCTTTCAGCATTGAAATGGCAGTATGGTTGGCAGAAAAAGATGTGATCAAGGGTCGAACTTTGACGCCCCCTACCGTCTTCACCCGAATAGAACGCCCAGTCATTATCGCAGGATCTAGACAGAAAACTGCCCCAGATATGGCTATAATGACTGGGTGTTCTATTCGGGTGAAGACGGTAGTCTCACTCTCGGCCATTCATCTCACGACCCTCGGAATTGGTCTTTTCACAGAGAGTTCAGAACATCGACCACTGCCTCCTCCTTAATTTGCTCAGAGCACGACTGACTGTGTAGCGACGAAGAGATCCCGGGACCCTGTCGAATCTTGTTTCGTTCTCGTAAATAAGCCATTCGGCAATAATGCAGCTCCCAACAAAAAAGATGCCTAGAGCAATCCGTAAGCCCTGAGTAAGAAGAAAAGAGTGATTCGCAAAGACGGATAGTACCTGCTTGGTGTAGTTTTGGCGTAGAAGCTGAGTCACGTTTTTTTCAGAATTCCTGTCCCTTGTTGATGGAGGTTGGAGATCTCAAACTGAGACGTAACAGTTATGTATTAAACGTCCCTGCTAACATCTTCCTCTCGATTTCTGCTTGCGCCGTGTTCCGTTGTGACAATCTCCTTCCTCTGCTTTGAGCTCTTGGCCAATACTAGCTCTTTTTTTTAATGCGCAGGGGCCATGCTAATCTTCTCTGTATCGTTCCAATTTTATCGGATGTCCTGAAGGACCCAATACTTGCTTCCTAACTTTCTTGTTCCCCCTGTTTTCCTTCTCAGCTCCTTCCTCACAGATTGTGCGTGTTCTGGCTCGTCAGGTCTTGCAGCTTTACTGCACCATCTTGATGGCCGGACGTCAAGCTCGACTCCGAAACTGCCTGCGATCCTGCAGCGCGCTTGCCTCACGTGACGTCAAACTCAAGTGAACGGTACAGTCAGCAGCGCTCAACAGCTCTTGCTCGCGTGGTTGCTGACACAGTCAACGCTCGCAGGAGCGCTCGGGCACTTCGCTTACAGGTGCGTCCTCAGTTACCGCTTCTCTCCCTCTTCTGTGCTACTCACCCTCTCGTTTATCGAAATCACATGCCTTCTCACTCAGCTATTCTTCGCTGACTCGTTTCACTAGGATATTCCATCTCATGCGCATAGTGTCTTTCCTCCCAGTTCGTTCAGTCTTGCTCGCTCGACTTTGGTTTCAACTAAAATGTACCCAGCTGCTTTCGCGGCTAGGTTATCGAGAACTTACAGAACCACCTTTACTGATCTCTGATCATTCCGCACTCACACGCACACACCTCACCACTATGCACCTTCGCATCTCTCCCCTCGTACTCACTTGCGGCTTATCCTTGTCATTTACTCGCTCTTGTTTCCGTCCCTATCCTTGTCATTTACTCGGTCTTGTTTCCGTCCCTACCTTTGCACAGCCCCGTTCAGAAAAAGGATTGGCTCCAAGGGCTGGTCTTCGGGTTCTGTGCCTCAATGTCTTCTGTTGCCGTCGGGGATCCTTGATGCTTTGCGGGTCAACCCTCATAGGCCCGATAACCACGTCAAAGGTCTTTCGCCAAAGTGACGCCCCCTGCTGTTAATTCTCAGTCATATTCGCAACGGCGTCTTCGTCGTTTCGGTACCGCGCTCAAGGTTCCCACTGACCGTCTCGTTTCAGCAAGCTAGCATGCTCATCAGTCCATTCGTGCGTGGGCGTGGGTCTCATCTCACGCGTCTCAACTGTAAGCCCAGGTATGTCCTCATCACATACGTCATCCGTTCAGCTCATGCACAGCATAATCCAGGGGTAGGGCTCACACAAAAATGAGGGCTACACAGGGGGGTAATAGAACATAAGAAACGAGGTGGTTTGGCATGGAAACATAATGTTGACACAGAAAAGGAAAGTAGTGAAATCTGAGAAATTTGTGTTTCTTTTTATCGTTCGTTTTCGTATTCACAATTCTTGACATAGCTGCAAAAATAAATATAATACCATCCTCAACTTGACTGTGCAAAAATCACTTGCGCAGAATCTCGCGCACGTGGTTGAGGCCAAGCTCCAGTGGAAATGGAAGTAGGGTCAATGGGCTGTAACACCCCTTTGGCCAAGTTCATAACTACCGTCTTCCCCCGAACATAACGCACTCTTAGAATGAATGTATACAAGTATTTCCGGCCAGATACAGCCAAAATGAGGGTGCGTTCTGTTCGGGGGAAGACGGTAGCGTTCCTCAATCTAGTCCTTTCCCTCGTCATCCCCCATACATAGCTGGCCTTCCATTTACCCCTAAATACACAGGTTAGCCAGCAGCTGTCTCTGTTGGTTAGTGTTCGGTGGGTAGTTGCCTTCGATGCCCGAAAAGTGGTGGTCCCGGTGTCGGGCGGCCAAATCCAATTGGCCTCCAGAAACGAGGAGGTTATGGGCGTACATCTACTAATACTGACAATTTTTGGCGTTATCTCTGTATGGTGAGGAACAGAAAAACAGGGCACACAGACCGACCCCCGTTTTCCGTTCCCACAACCCTGTATACTAGACTCACTATTATGCCAAATTGACTGAGTACTCTGTTAAGGGGACGGGATTTCTATTCCTACTGCCACCTTTAGGTTGCCAACCCCATTCCACTGGGTCAAATTCCATAGGTCTTGCAGTGCAGCCTATGCTTGGATGATTAGACTCAGCTATAGCCCCAAAACTCTCGCTTGATGCACTCCACCGCGTCAAATTCTATAGGTCTTGTAGCGCAGCCTATGCTTCGAAGATTAGACTCAGCTATAGCCCCGACACCCTCACTTTACCCACTACAAGAGCATTTGTGGTTTCATTCACTAGGTCAATGTTCTCACTAAGGGAGAATCTTATCGAGCATGGTTGATGAGTAGACACACACACACACACACACACACACACACACACACACACACACACACACACACACACACACACAC